CCTAGTTTCCCCGGCGTGGAGCGAGGGGCGACAGGCTTTCACGTCGGGGTCGGTGCATCGGCGAAGCTGGACGTCGTGGTGAAGGCGATCGGAACTCTCGGCGGGACGCAGGCTCGGGGGACTGGGGTCGTCGCAGATACTCGTCGATCTCCCGAGGGCGTTCACCATACCGGGGGCGCGGGTCGTTTGGGTGAAACCCGCGCAGCCCGATTCGTCGGTATGGGCATCGGCGGTACACATGGTCAGCTTCCCCGCAGTGGTAACACAGCGGGCGTCGGTCGGCCGTCCTCCAGACGTCTGTCTTCCTCGGCGCAGGTTGCTCTGGGTGAACGTGCCCTTGATCTTCCTGTCGTCGGGGGTAATGCGGCGTTGGGGCGTCTCTTCGGGGTGGCGACGTGGCTTGGCGGGGGGCTTGCGGCGGTCGTCGGGCCATCGCGGCGTAGCTCAACATGGGTTCCTCCGGTGCCACCGTGGTGACGGGAACCTCTGGTTGGAGCGCCCGATGCACTTCTTCTCGGACAGCCTCGGCGATGGAAAGGGCTGGCGGACGGTTGGTAGTTGGCAGCAACTTTCGCAGTTCCTCCCGGACAACCTCTCGGATCATTTCCCGGATGTCCGGTGTATCCGGAGTGTTTTCGCCGTTAAGCGGTGCGGGTGCAGCGACGCCTGGATGTCGCTGGAAGTGGGAAGCACGTGCCTGAAGCGCGCGCTCGATGTTGGTTGCTTCGGCGATGAAAGCTTCCACGGTGGTAGGCGGGCTCCGCACAAGGCCACCGAAGATGTTCTCCTTGACGCCGCGCATCAAGACTCGCAGCTTTTTCTCTTCAGGAGCGATTGGGTCGGCGCGATTCATGAGGTGGAGAACGTCTTCGACGAAGCTTGTGACGCTCTCGGTCGGCCCTTGGGTTCTCGCTCGCAGGAGTTCTTCGGCACGCTGCCGTCGGTGCTGGTTGGCAAAGGTCCGTCGCAGCTCGGCCTGGAATTCTTCCCACGACGCAATGGACGCTTCGTGGTTCTCGAACCAGGTGCGTGCCGTGCCTTCCAGAGCAAAGTAGACGTTCTGAAGGCACTGCTCCGGTGTCCATCGGTTATGGCGGGCCACTCTTTCGTAACGTTGTAGCCAATCTTCAACGTCCTCGTGGATCTCCCCGGTGAAAGGCGTCGGAGTCCGGGGTGCGACGGGCAAGTATACGACGGCAGAAGCGGCCGGGATCTCCGACTGGTTGGCCATCGCCGTCGTCTTGGGCCTCGGCTTGTCCGGCAGCAGACCGTACTCAGGATCCTCTCCCTTTATGCGGCGGCTGGTCCGAGGTTCAGGTTCCGCGGTGAATGGTCTTCTCACCATGCCGGGAATCGGACTTGTGCTGCGGGCCCTTGGAGGGGAACGCTGCACGGGCATGCGGTACCCCGCACCTCCACCAAAATGTCACGGGTGGTGACCAAAAATAACAAATAAACAGGAAGAAATAAACGTTTAATGTGGCGAACTTGTGCCAAACATAAAAGAGTACAAAAGATAATGATAGAGCGTCGCGGGCGTCGAAGTCGGCGTGGCAGCAGAGTCGAACGCTGAAGCGAAACTGACTCGACAAGGTAGCGGGGGGCCTCTTATCTAGAGTGTGTCACTATCTCGAAGATTCGGCGAAAGCGGCTCGAGCGTCCCGTGATCGGGGCGAGAATGAACATGCACTTTCTAGAAAACAAAAGCAGGAATAAATGATAGAAGTTACGTGCGGCACATGAATAGACGAGAACTTTCTGGGGGTCCGTGACCGAGCGTTGCTTTCTCAGCCCTGCGCGCGGCAATATATACATATTTTTTTCCAGTGTATAAGTCCGATTGTAATATGTGCACGTTTATGTTATACTCGCCATCACTTTTGAAGTGAGTGAAAACACTAAAAGAAGATCGAAGATGTTATCTTGTTTTCAGTTTATAGATACAAACCCTACTGCCTCAAACAAAATTTCTCAAAAAACGCGCTGTCAAAAAAAAAAAAAAAAAAAAAGATGCAGGAAGATTACGCGGTGACAGTACGTCGCGGTGCGAGAAAAGCGGTGTTCCTATGTTGCTTTCCGAGTGGGCTGCCCATCGTGCTTTCTTTGAAAATAAACATGCAAACGCTTGCTTTTTTTTAAAGGCACAGTTGGGCATAGGTTTCGAGGGCATACGAGCATCTAATGAAGAAAATAAACAGCGAATTTGAATTGAATTAAATTGTAGTCTTTATTTCTTTCGGATCAACCGAAAGGGGAACAGAGACTATAGGCAGAAAATGCCTGACGAAGGTCTCTGTCCCCTTTGCAGTTCCTACATACGGTACACAGTATAGTATACACTCATGCAGCTGTAGAACAATCAGCGATTCAAATAATGTCGTAGCTTTATAATACATCATCTTGAGGATCGCAACTAGTAATATAGATTATGAAAGAAACTTTTCACAAGTTCAGAGATAAAAACCATCAAATTGTACATGTATAAAAATGGCTATAAAACAGTGTCACTGCCCACCAAGAGTGTCCTCAGCTCTTTTTTAAATTTAGAAAAGGAGTTATTAAAATCCACGAAGGTCCCAATTGAATTTAATAATTTGGTCACCTGATAATCTTTAGTTTGCTTTCCGTAATTTGTTCGAATCTGTGGGGGTCGTCTTAAAGAGTGCCGAAAGGTGTATCTGTGCACTACATCACTTGTATTTGTATCATAGTTTCTCAGTTTTGATATGTTGCATTAACTTGAAATTATTAATTTTGTTAGCCTTGAGTATACAGTGTTTTTTAAAAAGTGGCTCAGTTGGAAGGTCTTGCATATTCCCCGTGTAACTTTCAAATAACCTCAAAATTTTATTCTGTAATTTAAGAATCTTATTGTAGTTTGTGGGCGTGGTGGTACCCCATACTAATATACAGTAGCCTAACTTTGAGTAAAAAAGAGAGTAATAAATTTGTTTTTTTAACCATGTAGGGATCAGGTTTCTTATTTTATACAAACATCCACCTGCCTGAGAAAGCTCAGCAGTCAAATTATTCACATGTGCATTCCAGCTAAGCTCCTGGTTAAACCAAACGCCTAAAAGTTTCTGTTCGGGGACTTGCTCTCTAATCGTGTTTTCGAAATGCAAACTTATTGGAGTATTATCATGTTTGTTTATTGGGGCAAAAAGTATATACTTGGTTTTCTTAGAATTTAGTTGAAGTTTATTTTTATGGAGCCACACTGCTAATTCAGCGAGATAGCTATTTGCCATTGACTCTAGGGATGCTTTGGAGGCAGAGGCGAAAAATGCGTTGGTATCATCTGCGTACATAATCAGTTCTGGAGATCTAGGAATAGCAGTAATATCATTTATATAAAGGAGGGACAACAAGGGGCCTAGGATAGAACCTTGGGGGACACCATATTTTACTTCCAACGTGGTTGAGACAGAGTTGTTAACTTTGACGAATTGAAGGCGATTTGTTAGATATTGTTTTATTAAAGCCAAAGCTACTCCTCGTATTCCGTACAGTTGAAGTTTACTAAACAAAATTTGGTGTTGAATCGTGTCGAATGCTTTTTTAAAGTCTAAAAAAACTCCCAGTGTGTATAATTTATTTTCCATGTTATATATTATTTTATCCTTCGTCTCAATAAGTGCCTGCTCTGATGATTTGCCCTTTTGGAAACCATACTGTGATTTGTTTATGCCATCATGCTTTACAAGAAACTGATATAATCGGCTTTGTATAACTCCCTCAAATATTCTCGAAAATATTGCAAGACTGATATAGGTCTATAATTTTGTAGATATGGTTTCCCTCCTTTAAAGACAGGGGTAACTTTAGCAATTTTTAGGGGGTCTGGGAATATACCCGATTCTAGAGTACAATTTATTACATGGGATAAGATGTTACTTATAATTTTAGAAAAATATTTTATGGGAGTGGGTTTTATTTCATCTACGCCAGGGGCTACAATATTTCTATCTTATTTATAAGACCTTCTATTTCTTGTGGGGGGGTTGGTGATAACATTATCGAATTGGTTTTAGAATGCGTGGTCATCATGCCACCGCGTAAGGGCTCACTGTCGGATTCTACTATTCAGAACCTACACTCGGGGGCAACTTTGCGTATCCTCCCGACGCCGCGGATCCATTCTCGACTGACATAACCAAGATTTCGTACAGTGGCGTCCTTCAACCTGAGACGTGAGCCTAACTCTGCTTTTATCTCGTGTCCTCTTGAAAGGAATGCAAGGGATGGAGGGCGTAAGGGTCGGGGTGTAGAGGAGTCGCACGTGGCGTGATCGTAGATGCACTGAGGGAGAATTGCGCACGTTCCAGAAGTCACGACACGATTGTCCGGGTCCAACGTTTGAACGTGGGTCTCAGATGTTTATGCCGGTATTCACCTCACGCGCGCACGCGCGCTCGGACACGTCCGCCAACTATACGATTCAGCCGGGGCGACGTGGCTTTTTCTACCCCAGCGACAGAGTTAATGGTAACAAGCGAACGCAGCGCGAGCTTCTGGAAACATTCCGGTAAAAAAGAGGTAACGAGAGAGTGAGAATTAGCTTCAATTTCACATACGCCAAAGCCGCGAATATTGTAAGATTGACCGGCATTTGTCTTTCTTTGTATTTTCGGGCGACATATTATTATTATTTTTTTCATGAAAAGATAAGAAGGGTGGCAGATTTAATATTTAAATTCCCGATCCCGACAGTTACATGAGCTGGTTCGAATGTGAAAACTGTTAATAATGCCACGCGCGTGGGTGAGCAAGCGCGCGCGTGGCCCAGTGGTTAGCGCGCATGACTTTCGCGTGCAAGGTATAGGTTCGATTCCAGTCAGGCGGACTGTCCTTTTATTTATATTTTCAACTTGGGCTTCTCGTAAGTTCGAGAACATTCTCGCCTGATCGTGTTCCGATTGCTATACGCACCGAAAGTTCTACGCCGAATAATCCAGAAACCAACGAGGGTACATAAGGGGCTCCGCAAAGAGAGACAACATGGAGGAGTACGCACGTGAACCTTGCCCATGGAGAATAGTGGACGACTGCGGTGGAGCCTTCACGATGGGTGCCATCGGTGGGGCTGTGTTTCAAAGCAGCAAGGGATTTAGGAATGCCCCTTCGGGAGTCAATCGTCGTCTGCTGGGAAGCCTGGGTGCCATTAAAGAGAGGGCGCCAATCATAGGCGGAAACTTTGCAGTTTGGGGAGGCTTGTTTTTGACGATAGACTGCACAGTGGTGAAGATTCGCAAAAAGGAAGACCCATGGAACTTCATAACCAGTGGTGCCCTTACGGGAGCCATCTTGGCAGTCCGAAATGGGACCGGCGCAATGGTGGGATCCGCGGTCATAGGTAGTGTCCTCCTGGCCCTAATTGAAGGCGTGGGCATTCTCTTCACTCGCTTCTCGGCTGAACAGTTCAAGCCAGTAAATCCACAGATGGAAGACCCCTCGCAGCTAGGAGCGGCGCGTGGCAATATTAGATTCGCAGAGTTGGAACTCAAAACACTCAAGGGAAGATAAAAAAAAAGTGAAACACGTTTACAAAACTTTGTAATGCGAAATTAGATCGCAGCTCATGAGGAGGAGGATAGCAGGGGAGGGTACCGTGGGGAGGGTATGCCCCTCCCCTCCTTTTTTTAACCCGCTAGGCGCAGCGCGTAAAATTTCTTAACTAAATTTGGCGGGAAAATATTCCTGCTAAATTTAGCGGGTTAAGTTTCCCCGCTAAATTTAGCGGTGAAATTCAGGTCACGCGACCTCAACACCAATTTAGTTTCGAAGCTAAATTTAGTGGGGAAGATGACGTCACATGACTTCGTGTCAAGTAACCTATGAACCAATTCAGCTTCTCCGCTAGATTTTGCGGGAAAATTGACGTCACGTGACTTCAACACCAATTCAGTTTCTCGCTAAATTTATCAGGGTGGTTACGCCGACGCCGACGCCGCGAAACGTGGAAACTGCGCCAAAGAGCTGCGCTCTAAAAAGAGAACGAGGGGAACGCAGGGTGGAAAGCACTTTTCATTCTGAAAGCGATTTTCCGGGTGCGTTGTTTGTATTGAGTCGTGTGCGCATAAGCATAAGAATCTATACATATAACGTGTAGTCAGATACTAGTTAAGAATGGGCCAGACGCAGGCCGGCACCCTCATTACCGCCTGTCAATATTCCTGCGAGATGCTCAAATAATCCGCTACAAAGGTGCACGTCCGCGCTGACGTTCCATACGTCCTCATGACTACCCCATTTCTTGGTTGATCGGCATAGTAATTTGATGTCGTTGCTGGTACGTGGTGGGGTTCATTCGGCGGACTCTTAACTTGTGTCTGACTGTAGACGTAAGCAATGTAAGAAAGAAATATCGAGCGCCGACTGAGATACAGCACTGGTTTCATCCCGGAAGGAGAAGTTGAAACTAATTTCACGGTACACTGTAAAAAAAAACCGTAAGTTAACAGCCTTTTTAAAAACAGGAAAGCGCCGTGAGAGGCGCGCACGGACAAAACGCCGTAGAGACGACATGACGGCACGAGTCCGTAAATGTACGGCTTCACATATTTCTTAGTTCAGGTCTGTGTTCCCTTTTCTTTCAAGTAAAAACACATAACACACGCCACGTTCGCTCTAGAGATAGTTTTCTTGCTGACAGATGTCTCATGTTACGTGCCATTCGTGCCAATGCTAAAATCTCTTTCGAACGGCGGAGGGAGACCCACCCAAAGGCCGGCGCACTCAGCTCGCGGACGACGACAACCGAGCGAGGAGCGCCGTCCATCACGTGATGTTTACTTCCCGGTCCCTACCCGCGTACGCTCGCTCGCGCGTGAACCACCACGGGCGGGGAGCTCGGCAGCACACTTCGTCGTCGCGGCGATCATCTTTCACAATTCAACCGGACTAAGAAGGTAAGCTAGCTCATTTTCGCATGCGCCTTGCGAGATAACCGAAGTGCAGAAGGAATCAAAGACGCGTAACTTAACGCTATAGCGCGGGCTGAGTCAGAAAACGCGCCATATTTTTTGCTTTAGCTTCCCGACTCAGTTGCGCGAGGGAAACCTATCCACGCATCAGACTCGACTCGATGGACATGTGCAGGCACAGGGCTCATCGCCATGAGTGTTTGGTTTGCTCTGGGCTGAGTGGGCTCTCCCGAACTCCTTCTGTTCGTACCTTTTTTTGCTTTCGGGCGCCGTCACCCCTTCGCTTTCGGGCGCGGGAAGAACCGGAGAAATCATATTTTAACATGAAAGACTGAACCGCGCTCATTGAATAATCATAATGAGCGCTGTCGCATACTGAATTTAAGAGCATGTCGTGTTTTCTCTAGTTTATACACTGATGTTTAGGACAATTGCTGGATCGCGTACCCCCGCTTGATCGCTGCAGCCCGAGTGCGGCCACCGGACGGCAATCTTGCATGTTGAGAAAGCACGCTTTTGGAGCGTTGCGGAGGCTGGCGGTAGCGTGCTGAAGACACGGTTTCTACTCGTTCGTCGTCATTCACCGAAGTTCTTTAAAACTCAATGTAAGACGTGAGACTTGCCGTTGAGAACACGTGACAATTTTTACGGAAGCGCAGTGCAGCAGAAAAAAGGCACAACTCGTCGAAAGCAAGTTTCGCCGGTCTCGCGGCATGCTCAAAGCTTCATTGGCACCCCGAAGCGCTGCGTCTCTATGCCTTCGCACGCTTGGATGCCGGTCAAGAATCGACACCGTGTGAATGTGTTTTGCGAGTGCAATGGCGCCTCTCGAGCAGCGGTTTACTTTACTCTGACGACTGTATTTGTAACTAAGTAGCGACGGAAGAGGGGAGGAAGGTACTTCTTTTTTTCGTTGTTCGACGGTTCAGAGAATACCGCGCACAACAGCTCCTCATCAGTGATCAGCGGTGTCTCATTATGAACCTACTTAATTTCACTTGACGTTTGAGCACGGCTCACCTAATTGTGATTGGTCAACAGGCTGCACACGACTATATTGACCGCGCTTCAAAGATCCTCATTCTCGCCGTCTTGTACTTTTGCCTTCGAAAACCCTCCTTGCTCTACAGCGTTGCTCTATTTGTTCTGCTATGTGATCTATTAGAGTAGATTTGGAACACAGCCATGGTTAATAGTGCATAAGAGCAACTGTACAGATTGCTTTCCCCCCTTTATTGGTAGGAGCTCGCCTGAACATCTGGATGCTCCAGAACTCTTTAGCCGATATAAGATGCAAAGACATCTATACACGACACACCTACAAAACTTTTATCGCAGCACCAATTCTTGATCGGTAACCTAGTGTGCGAAGGCAGAGACTCAGCGCTTCAGCATGCCAAGGAAGCTTTGATCATGCCGCAAGACCATTGAAACTTGCTTTCGACGGGTTGTGCCTTTCTCTTGCGGCACTGCGCTTCCGTAAAAATTCACACATGTTACTCGCTTATATTTGCCAACGTAAAAGCGACTATTAAAATATATGCTCAAGCAAAAAGTGGCCACTTTCCGAGAAGAGTGTGCAACCCTTAGTTTCCCTTTTGTAGTAGCTTCTCCTTGGCTGGATCGATTATTGATGCCTTGCATGGGAGGGAGAGCGGTGTCAGTCATTGTTTCGGTGGCACCGATTACTTGAGGAACACTCGTATGAATCTTCCTCCCATTATTTTCATTTTAGGGAAAAATGCTTGTTGTGACGTGTGGTTTATTCGCTATGTTTAAATAGTTTTGTTGCTTTGCAGTTGTCGAAGATGGGACTGATTTGGTTATTGCATCAAGCTTTAAAGGCAATGAGGTCATTGCCAAAGTTCTGTGTTTTTGCTTTCTATCCCCTTTTCCAACAGCAATCTTTTTGCTGTGAATAATTGTGTGTCATATTTGCAGTTATATTAGTTTTTATTACACTGTGAGGAACTGCGGGAATTTCTATAGTGCTTGAATCGCTTTTTACAATGTGATAAACCGGAATCGCCTGCTCCAAAAGCTCAAATGTGGGGGACACGCTACCACAGCCGTGATGAAGCACTCGCACATCTTTTTGCTGCAGATTATACTTCTGAGCATCGCCAGCAATGATGGGGCCCATATGCTGGACGAACCACAGGACGCCACGAAATTGATTGTTCTCGAGCCAACCACGGGAAAACAGTGGTTCCTGGGACCCATCTTGGTAGATTTCAAGTTGGGAGCATTAGGAGCCTGCCAGCACTGGTCTTCAGCTACGATGCCTCCACAGAAGCCGCTATCCCATGCCAGTCATTCGAGGCACGCTACCACAGGCATGAAGGAACGCTCGGACATCTTTTTGATGCAGGTTCGTTATTTGAATGCTTTAACTTGCCGTCGTTCAAGCAACTATTGTCTGCTAGTGGTATCCTGCCCCGGTGCTTGGTTCTGCTGTTTTCGTTGCGTGTGGTCTTGGTTTCGGGACGTCATGTCCTTAAGTTTGCAGTGTGAAATAAATGAAATGAAATATGGGCTACAAAAGCAATGTTTTTGCTGCAGAAGCTGCTACAAGCAGTTCTTTTGTAAGCTTCACCACTGATGATAACATTTTGTCTGTTAATGCATAGAAACATTAGCCACTTGTGCTTTCTTGCCTTTGAGACATGCTCAGATAATTATATGGTTTGAAGTTGAACTGGGGAGGGGGTAGGGGGGGGCTTCATTGTTTACTTTTAGAATGTAACACTCATCTCCAATTTTCAACTCAAAGAGCTTCCTGCAGCGTCCATCTGCATCACACTGGGCAAGCCTTTGTGCATCTTTTGGCATGTAGGATACAACACTTCTTTATTTCAATTGTAGGCTACTGTATTACCGTAAAATGCCAGGCAAGCACCCACTCAAAATTTAGAGATAATCGCGAAAAAAATGGGGAATGGGCACTTGCCTGGTCATCAATTTTACATATAAATGTACTGTGCATATTTTCTCAGATCTTAGAAATTTGGATATTGGCGCTTCATGTGGAATGGGCGGATGCATGGTATTCTACGGTAGCTAAGAGTTGTACTTGGAGTGTCGTTCAGTACGAGGAAAATAGTTTTTCTTCGTATATTCACAAATCTAGCGTGCGAAGGCACAGAGACTCGGCATGCCAAGGAAGCTTTGATCATGCCGCAAAACCGTCGAAAGTTGCTTTCGACGAGTTGTGCCTTTTTCTTGCGGCACTGCGCTTCCGTAGAAATTCACACATGTTGTCATTAGCAAGTATCCGGCTTACACAGGGTTTTAAAAAAAATGTTTTTGGCGAATGACGACGAACAAGTAGAAAACGTGTCTTCAGCACGCTGCGGCCAGCCTCCGCAACGCTCCAAAAACATGATTTTTCGACGTGCAAGATTGCCGTCTGGTGGCCGCACTCGCGGAGCGGGGATGCGCGATTGAGCAATTGTCATAGAGATCAGTGAGTTTATGTGAAAAAAAAGTTCTTGTCTATGGCAGTTTGTTTTGAGGTCGGCCAATAATCTCCACTAGAGGAGTGGATGGCGCATTGAGCGAACAGGTACGAAGGCACCGGAAGTAAGCAGCTTGTCCCGG